CACGATAGCTCATCCCTAACACAATATCTCTGTATCAAGTGGGAAAGTTTCGAAAATTGAAGCTGTATTTGATACTGAGAGTAATACTATTTCTCTACAACGAGTTACAGTACATGGTAGGGTTACTAGGTCATAAACAGGTCGTCTACCCAAAAATACATTTGAGCAGTTAGCTCAGAGTATAACAGCCCCAACAGTCGATCAGTTATGCTCTGTCAAAAATAAAATTAATCGGAATTAGATTATGTTGCAAAATTGGTCATTGAAAAGCACTAAACCCAGACTGGTTTTAGGTTTACAGAGAAAGGTTTTGACAATAATCAACTTTGGAGATTTCAACTTGACACTGATCTAATATATAGGTCGAAATATCGTATTTTAATCTTAATGTTAATTTTAATCTTAATGTTAATTTTAATCGATGTTTACTTTTAAAATTATACTAAATTGGATATGTTAGCCGCCGTCAATCGACATTTGATAATTTAACAACTCCGATAATTGAGCGATCCGACTTTAGATATTTTTCAATATAACTTTTTTCCGACCAGGAAAATTGTTTTTTCAGATTGTTCACTGTGATAACGATGACGATAATAATTTCTTTGTGGTCCGATTACGAACTGATTATGAACTTTGGCGATTTAGTACGGTTTTTTAGCATATGGTTTTTAGTAGTCTTCCAACTCATTTCCACTTCACTCAGATTTGTAGAGCAAACGTTTCTGATCAAAATAAGACCTTGCAAGACTCTGTATGACCTTGTATCAAAAAATTACAGGCGTTTTCCTAGAAGTCCTAAAACTGAGCAATTTATACAGCGTTTTCTCTACATGGAAGTTATACCTTTGAAGTGTGTCCCAAAATTTTTAATAGCGGTTTGTCGTAGAGAGTTTATTCTTTGTTTGTTAAAGAGGAAAAGAAACTATATCGACTGACCGGCGTTGATGTTTGAATTAGCTCTTAGTTTTCTGTCAAACTGTGGAGTTTTAGAAAACTCGGAAGGATTTTCGGGTTTTGGAGGTTGTTGGTTGCCTGGGAAATCAATAAAGCCTAACTGGAAAATCGGCGCCTGTCAGTCCATGTATTTAGGTGTCTAGTTTAGAATAGAACAAACTCGAACTCTCCAGCTTGAAGTATATTAAAAGATCTTGGGGCACACTTCAGAGTACTTTTTGGACATTGATCTCTGGAAAACTTCTAAACCATACGACTTGGAGACAAAAAAGATTTTTTAATTCCCGTAACTCATTGTGCCTAACATTTATGGAAAGTTTCGTCGAGATTGGATGTACGGTGTCGGCGATAATTTCTGAGGGGAGTGGGGGACTGAGAAAAATATTCTTTTTTCGTCTCTTTTCCCTCTATTCCTACATGACATCACAGAATCTTTTACGAATCGTGACAAACTATACTGTTGGTTATGATGATATCAAACTCTGTGTGAACTCAAAATACTGCTCAATCCAGTTCGATATAAATTTACTAATTACTTTTTAAACCACCCGTACGAAAGGAGAGGAGTTCAGCCAAACGCATTTTTAGGATGCTCCCATTACCCACACCCCATAAAAAATTAAACATCTAGGTATCCAGGGTGAGGGTGAAAGTTCGTAGCCTCACCTTCACCCTGGATACCTAGATATTTAGAGATTTGACTCTTGAAAGATATACTGAACAGTTATCGTTACTTGTACGGTAACTGCTTATCCGTTACAGTTACCAAGAACGTCAACTGTTCAGCAGTTACAGTTACCGAGTAACGGTGGTAACAGTAACTGGTAACTGTCACAGCCCTAATCACGATACATCCCGAAAAAAGGGCATTACGATTTATCTAACTACTTCTTCTATTCGGATATTTCTACAATTTAACGCGATAGGAATCAGTATCGCGATGTTGATCAGTAATCTTTATCGCGACTGAACGAAACATTATTTTGCATCGTGATCATAGAGATAACTCAGTAATAACTTACATCGTGAATTATCCGAACCGTCTGATAGATCGCGACGTAGAATTTATCGCGGTAAACAATTACGATATCGCGATATGTACCATTATCAACACCTTTATGGCGATATATCGGCGATTGCTCGGTTAAAAAATCCCCAAGGGTGATAGATGATAGCCAATGGACTGTTTTTTACTCGAAAAACTTAAAATCCCAGTAGTTAGTTCTATGTAAGTAAATCTTTACTGTTGTCATTAGAAAATTTGGTGTTTGCTGCGCGCTGAACCTAATTGGATAAAAATAGCGCCAGATGCAAAATTTGTTGGTGAATCCGACAGCGGATTCCTTATAATTACACCTTCACTTCTTTTTTGGCGTCGACATAATCAACGTGGTTTTTGCCTAAATTTTATTTTTCTCATTGGCGCCTTTTTTACAACCAATAAGAAAAACAAAATTTAAAAATAGATTATTAAATAAAAATCCCTTACCTCGCCAATTAAAAGGAGAAACGCAGTACTTTCGATCTGTCTGAAAACATATTTCAAATATGACACCAAACACTATTTTAAAAACTTTGGTGATAAAGTTTCAGGATGTGAGCTCATCAAACATGTGTTGTTTATATTTTTCTCTTGCTTGAAGATGGTTATTTTATTTCAGTAAAGCAGAATACTCTAATTTCAAGAAAAACTGAGTTTGTTGACGTATTGTTCGTTATGCAGAGTCTTTCAAGTTCCAATCCTTATTTAACGACCTTTAATATGAATATAAACTCTGATGTCGAAACGCTGGTTGTATAGAAATTCAAGGAAAAACATTAGTGTTTGCAGTCTCATTTACTCTTAGATTTCAGCCAATTTCTAGACTTCTAAATGCAAGACCACTGCTCGAAAATCTTCGGAAATTGACATATAGAGTAAAAGTAAGCATTTTTGGATAAATAAGTTCAAAGTCTTAAAAAAGCAAACATTCACTACGATACAGAAAGCAGTAAAACAAGAACTTTGTCTATGTGTTCATTCAGAAAACGATTTAGGTTATGCCTAACCGATAAAAGATATTTCCGGTACATACATCTGCCACACCGATGTAGTGAACTTAAGTACCAACTCATTTGTTTTAGATGGTACTGGAAAAACAAATGGTGCTAATGTAACCACCAAACGAATTAAAGAAAACCAGCCTTTACAGAACATCTTCACATACACATAAGTTGAGTGGAACAGAAATGTGTTTGAAATAAGTTAGTGTTGGCTATTTTGTTCTCAGAAAAAAAAGAATAAGCAACTTATTCTTTTTCTCTTCTTATAAGTAAAATAGTCGGCTAAAATAAAGATTTTTCCTGTTTCTTTATTCGTCTTCATTTGAATCAACATCGTTTTGTCTTACAAAAATAAACTGCACTCAAATTTCTATTGACCATTCACTCAATGCGTGAAACTTAGATTTTTTGTTTCAAAAGTTCAAAACGTACAGAAAAATCTATGCTTTATTTTTTTTGTCGTCCAAATTTCAGCTTCTTTCTCTACAGAATGAAAAAATAAAAACAACTGCAAAAAAACAAAAAGTTTATTTTAAAGTAATGAGAAACTCTCACTTCTTTTTGAACAACCTCCGCCAACAGAGAAATCTTGCCTCTTAGTGGAATTATTGGTACTCACTTAGATTTGTTACTCAGCCTCATGCAAGCTGGTGACAAACACGTACATACATTCTGCACCGCATTTAAAATTTCAGTTATCTTAAAGCACACACGAGGTAAGGTCACCAACTGTCAGATCGTCATTTACTCAAAACCAAGTGTAGGAAAAGTGATTTTTCTCAGCGAGGAAAAGGAATTTTAGAAGAAGCTCTTTGTTGTTTTGAAGCTGAGCATCTAGTGAAATGAACTACGTGAGAATACTGACTCTAGCACCTCTAAAAAACCTGTGATTGGTTTGCAAAATTGTATGCCGTTTTTGAGCTATTGACATTGTGAAATATTTCGTGAATAGACAAAATGTTTTAATAAGACCATTTTCTTGTTCGGTTTTAGATACAGAATCAGGAAATACAACTTCAAAAGAAAAATGTAAATAAAACGGGGGAAAATTTGAGGTTTTCTATAGTGAAGGATTTCTGGGGTTTTGAAACTCTTCCAGTATTTTGAGTTTTTCGACCAGAAAAAAGTATCACAGAAAATCGGGGTATATATTCTTGATCGCCTTGAAGTCCTCTATCCAACGTTGTTATGATACGTTCGAAAATTTGTTTTTTGCATGTGAGCACCAATAGCTCCTGGTTGACACTCCCGGGAGTGTCAATAGCCATTCTGATAAAATTACCGACTAGCAGAGATGTGCGCCGTCGCGCCGGTTCGCCGATTCGCCACCGCCGCCGAAGTCGGAGAAAAATTATTGCGACTTCCGCCGCCGCCATGTCGTTGAACTTTTGTCGCCGCCGAGGACGGAGAAAATTTTTTTCCGAAAATTTTGACTATTTTTGTTAGTACGTTCTTACCTCAGGCACGCGTTTCTATCTTTTCGTATGCGGCAACGTACAGATACAGTCAGGGGCGCGAAGAACGTGCCAGAAATGAAGGAGAACGAGAACTTTAAAAAAGTTCTGGTTTTAGAACTTAAATTATGAGATTCGCCGCCGATGACTAATATTTACACGCCGCCGCCGAAGGCGGAGGAAGTTTTCATAACCTCGCGCCGCCGCCGCCGAAGGTACAGAAAATTTTCATAGCCTAGCGCCGCCGCCGCCGCCCATGGTAAAAGTTTCATTCGCCGCCGCCAAAAATTTTTTATCGGCGCACATGTCTGCCGACTAGTCAATATTTAGCCGCAAATTTATTATAGCAAGAAAAGTTTTAATGTTTTCATAAACTTCATTTCTGTCGAAACCTGATCTGTGTTTATTACATTTTACGCTTATACCTGTGAATCCTGCATAAAGTTCCTAGCAGAAGAGAAGTGCCTGAAAAAATTGTATGTATATACTCGTATTGTCATTATCTTTCATTCAGTTTATGTATTCTTGCAATTGGCCTTCCAAAATTTATTTTGGAAACTTTTGTCGTAAAATATCCGCTGCTTTTTCAGCTAGAGCATAAACAGTCAAACAAGGTCCTGTTTTCGAAGCGAAACCGGCAGGAAATATTGACGCGTCAACAATACGAAGATTTTTAATTCCATGTACCTTAAACTGATTATTAACGACCGAATCGTCACCATTTTTTCCTATAGAACATGTACCGAGAAAATGAGATGCTGGTATAAACGAATTTTTGATGTAATCTACCTCATCATTTGACCCTGGTAGGATTTCTTCGAATTGAGCAAACTGTTTCATTGCATTAGTTGACATAATTTGTCGAATGTATCGTATACCGTCTACGAATGTTATCATATCTTCTTCATTTTCAAAATAATTTAAAATTATTTTCGGAGACATAAGTGGATTTGAATTATATAACGAAACAGAGCCAACAATTGATTTTGGAGATGGATTAAACATTATCACAAAGAGCCGATTTGTTTTCTCATTGTTCTTTAAAATAAAAAATATATTTGGTGTTTCATTTGTTGCTCGAATATGGCCTACTGGAATGCATTTGTTGATGGAAAAATTTTTCGTTTCGTACTCGACACTCACTATTCCATTATCCACTAGGTTTTTGCCAACTTGTTTTAATGAATGTTTTACATGTATCCCCTTTTCACTCAAAATATCTGGATCACCTATACCAGATATCATCAATATGTGAGGACTGAAAAATGTACCGGCAGAAAGAATATATTCATTTTTAGCTATGGCAACAAAGAAACCATCTTTTGTTACAAATAGAACACCATTTATTTGTTTAGTTTCTTCATTGACGTCAAATTTAATCACAGTTGCGGAAGTGATTACTTTAAGATTGGAATATTTCGATTGAGCCGGAGTCAAATAGACATCACCGCTCCAACTTCTGTGACCATTCGTGAATACTGTTGGTTCAAACGAGAAGCCATAATCGTTTGTTCTTGTAAACTCACTACTAAACGTTTCATTCATTTCTTCTGTAATATTTTGCCATACGCTGTTGAATGTATTATCGTACTCCAATGTGATTTTTATCGGCCCGTTCCGACCATGAATAGAATAATCAAAGTTAGGAGTCGATGTTGTAAAATTTTCGACTTTTTTATAATATTTTAACATGTTTTCATATGCAAATGAATGATCATCTGTCGCATTGACAAAATATTGCCAATCATCGGTCATTGTTCGTTCCATACCACCACCATTAATGCCACTTCCACCAAGCGTATTCCATGCAACAACATCCATTGTTCGATTATTCAAATTTGAAGATGGTTCCGAAAAGAGATTATGTTTAAAACGAGATGTTTGAAAAAGTTGACCAAACAAATCTTGTTGTGTCATCAGTGGATTCGTTGTATCGTTTGAGCCGCTCGACAATAATAATGTCTCGTAACCATATTCAGCTAAACGGGCAGCAATTACGCTTCCAGCAGTACCACCTCCGACAATGACAAAATCAGCATGCATCTCTTGAGTCTTAGTTGGTAGATCCAATGTTTTTTGAACATAGGCTAAAAGAAAGAAAGTTAATATAAAATATCAGAAAAAAGTCACAAAATAGTTACGGTGACAACTAGGGATGCTCCAGACTCAGGTTTGGAAGTTTTGGGTTCGGGTTCGAGCCTAATTATGATTTCGTGCTAATATTTTTCCTGTACAAAACTTTGACTATGTTTTCCAGAAACAATAAATATTTACCGGTATCGAGCTCCATATGTTGAGGAGAAGCACATAGAGGTAGAGGCATACTGTTATTGTTGACTAAGTGTAACTATTGCAGTCTGATTCTACTGCGACTATCTAAGCCAACCGCTGTGTGTCTCTGTCACTCGATATTTCTTGAATGACGAACACGAACACTCGACATTACCAGCTAAGAAAACGGATTATTTTAGGTACCCAATGCTTACAATTTTCCTTTAAGACTTAAGGGCCCCGCCCCTCAGAAATAATCTCTGACACAGTACATCCGATCTTGACAAAACTTTGCATAAATGTTTGGCTTAATTAGTTACGGGAAGAAAAAGTTTTTTTGTCTCCAAGTCTTACCGTTTAGGAGTTTTCCAGAGGTCAATGTCCAAAAAGGACCCTGAAGTATTTCCCAAAATGTTTTAATATACTTCAAGCTGAAGAGTTCGGGTTTGTTTTGTTTTAAACTAGACACCTAACTACATCGTCTGACCGGTGCCGATTTTTCAGTTAAGCCTTTATTGGTTTTCCAGGCAACCAACAACCTTCAAAAGAATTTTTAGAAAAGCCTTCCGGATTTTCTAAAAATCCTTAATTTGATAAAAAGCTAAGACCTAATTCAAAAATCGGCGCCGGTTAGACGATGTAGTTTCTTCTCCTCATTGAAACACAAAAAGAATAAACTCTCTATGACAAAGCGCTATAAAAAATCTTGGGAAATACTTCAGCTGTCACTCTTATATAGAACGCTGTATGAAATACTCAATTTTAGAACTTCTAGGAAAATGCCTGTAACTTTTTGATGCAGAGCCATGCGAGGTCTTATTTTGATCAGAAACGTTTGCTCTACAAATCTGTGTGTTTAGAAAAATTTTAATTGTATTAGTATCCAGGAAAAAACTGTTATTTGAAGATTCAGTTTTTCGAGGCATGGGGGCCTTAAATAGTTTCTTACATCTTCACTTTATCAGTCAGCTGAACGAGCTTTTGTTTCAGTAACGTACAATTGTTTCGTCGGTAATGTGTTTTTTCTAGTTAATTCAGTTAATTTTCTAGTGTGGTTATTACTCACAATGTGTAATCTGATTCAGCGAATGTTAAAAATTAGAAAATAATACAGGAAAAGAAATTGTTTCAAATATCAGTCATTGTTTAACCTTACTGTTCTTTACTGTATCATTCTGTTTCTTCCTCTAAAGTCGCGGCAATGTTAGACTCCTTCGCATGGTACATTCTTATTTTCTGACGGAAAAGAGAGAGAAATAAAAAAATATATGATGGATAAAACTGTTATTCTGATCCATGCTTTTCTTAGTTAGTTTATTCTGACAAACAGTCATGAGTTCACAATAGCATTAGTAGAAACAAGCAATTAAACAAGTAAAAACAGCTAATACAGAAATGACTAAGGATTAGTAACATAAGATTTTCTTCAATGTCATCATACTCAAGTATGTTTGCAAAGATCAATATAATAAAGTTTGCATGATTTACCATCTATAACTGCATACTGCAAGTATATAACATGAATCAGTAGACAGATGCAGACCATCCTTGGACCAAACAAGTACGTTCTATTGCTGAAAATAGTAGATTTTCTCTCTATGTTTTTGTATCTGAGTAGCGAGACATTTTGTGTAATCTACAAAGAAAAATGTTTTGCTTAAAGTTTAGACAAGAAAAACATTCCTTAATATAAAACATGTTGATCTTGTCAGATGATACATTTCTCATTCCTTCAATTATTTCTTTCCTTTGGTTAGATCGCGAACAGAAAAATGAGATGAAAAAAATAAGAGAAAGGATGGTATACACACTTTGCACATTAGTAAGAATAACAGACATGCAAGTTTAGTCGATAATCATATTAAATACAATTATAATCACTATGGATAAAACATTTTCTTTTTTCGATTTTCTTCGCTATGACAAATATGCTATGTATTTATAATTCTCAATGACATTTCTATGACTTTATCCCATATTTTACAACCAACACTTAGTTTTAAATGACATTTTGTAAAAGGGGTGGTCACCCAGGTCAACAAATCTTGTCAAATGATCTTACGAGATCATATTACTGGATTTCATAAGTTGAAACCCCTTAACTGTTATCAGGCTTGCACCAGTACCAATCATTATTGAAGATATTGAACAATATTATTGCTATCCAATAATATTGGGTCCCTATATTATTGTATACCCAATATATTGGAGCCAATAAGATTGGTCACTCAATAAGATTGTACAATAATATTGGATAATACTGGGTTCCACAGTGCACTGAATTTCAACTTTTTATATCTTTTTATATCAACCTTAATATTATTTATCTTTATAAAAACGTGAGGAAGCATATCCCGATTAGGTATGCATCGGTTTAAATTGATTACCGCATTACCACAAACTACTGAACTCATTCTAAAAGAATCAATTAATCTTACCTCAGAACAAAACATTCTTATCCTAAATAATGTGCATAAATACATGGCTGATACTAAAATATTCACTTAACTCTTACTTCTTGTACTACTCTATTTATTGTTTGCATCTGATATGTGGAGAGGAAAAGTTTTTTGTATAGTACAATCCTCGATAAATAAATAAAATTATTATTACTCTTTTTTACTTTTTTCTCTTCCTTTTTTCATTCCAATCTTTACCACTATACCGGTAGTGGAATAGAAACAAGACAGTGATACTGGAAGATAGTTTATTCTTCTTTTTTTCTTTCGTTCCACTTTTAGAAAGGACTGAGAAAACTGATATGCTGTGGTACAGGAAACAAACGGCACCTGATCGATTACTCAACTACCATTTATGCCAATGCAAAAAGACATTTTAGTGTTATCTGTGACAGAAATATAACCATCCAAAACTGAGCAAAACTGCGAAAAACTAAGCGACTAGCGATTAGTTTTCTACCATTTTCGTGCGTTTTCGATTTATTATATTTTCTCTATATATAACACTAAAATTTTTCAAGCGCCTCAGTTTGGTAGAGCAAACATTTTTCTACAAAATGAGACATTCGGCAGTTCTAAGCGCTTTTTTATAGTTGATTCGCAACACCTTTGCTGAATGCCCCAATATCGATTATTAATCGATGCATGCCTCATTGGGTTATACTTTGATTCAAAACGGGATGTAAGGCATGTGTCTGTACTGTAAAAGTAGGCTGAACTCAAACGACCCAATATCCAACAATATTGTGAAAACCCAGTCTATTGGTTACCCAATCTTATTGGTCCCAATATACTGGATGACCACTACTGTCGGTTCCAAAATAGTGTTGGATCCCAATATGTTGTATTGGTGCATGCCTAACTGTTATTGATGTAATGTTACGTCAAAGTAATCTTCATGGAAAAATGGAAGTTAAACTTTATTGTTTATAAATCTATATCTATGGGACATATCTGAGGTTCTACGATAGATCAGTACCATGTGAGCCATAACAAATGAGCCTCTCAATATTTTCTATTTATCTCATGCTTCTTTAAGAGTCCAAAGTTAATGTTGTTTTGCAAAATGCGCCGCCAGATGCTCTACAAAATCATACCTAAACTTTAATTTCAGAACTTCAATCAAGGAAACTGTGCAAATTATGCGAGACGCAAAAAGAAAAGATTTTGTGAATTTGGTATTTTTTTCGATTTGAACTTTTGTCTGCTATTATTTCTGTAAAAAAGTGTAGCAAAAGTGAGAACGGAGTTTGTGTGACTTCCAAACGAAAACTTTCAAATGTGATCGTTTTCAAGGGCTGTAATGAATATGTTTAGGGCAGATGGTGTGCTCGAGAACGAAGTTTCAAAAATAGGTTACAAATCTGCAACCGCCCCGTTTTCAACAATGTGCTCAAGTAAGAAACGGAAAAAATTATCGAAGTTTGAATTTTGCAGTTATGTAGAGAAGAGCAATCATTTCTGATAAAAAAAGCAAATCGAGGGTCGAGTTATGGCACTTTTACTGAAAGCACCACCATATGTAGAATTTAAAACTAATGAGAAAATATTAACCTTAGGGTTTGAAAGAAACACGATAAATATATAAAATACTGAGATGCTCATGTTTTATGGCGTACTTCACAAAAGACTAAATCCATTTATTTTAATTATTTATTTACAGCAATCCTCAGCAGTAGAACTATCTTCTGTGTACATCATACGCAATCTATATGTATGTCTGAAGATAGAGACAGCATAGATTATTACTGTTTAAATTACTAAAAGTTTATTTGTTTGAAGTTTGCTGTTTAAGTTTTTCTTAAAAAATATAACAGTTAAAGGGTTAATACGATCATACAAGGTCTTGCCAAAACTGTACAAAATCTTACAAGATTTCATATTAATCAGTCTCCCTATTTCCACACCAGCTTTCATAAGATTTTTCTTATAACCAGATTTTATAAGATCTTGAAAGAACGTGTGATGGGATCTTGTATGGTCGTGCAAGAAGTGATAAGATTTCATAACATCACGTAAGAATTCGTCAGACCTTACACGATTATGTGTCTGGTCGCATTCTATAAACTACCTCTAAACTCTCTTAAAAAAGGATCTTTCTCTATTCATAAGATTTTCTAGTATAAGTAGGACACAAACGTCCGTAGGATCGTGTTTAACCACGTTCCTTATAACCATGCACTTTATTTGCTCTTCAGCTGATGTGTGAGGTCAAAGAAAGAAAAGAATTCTAAGTTTCGTCATAAGACCTATGTTATGCATATGCTCACTATCATGGGTAAGAATGAGTCATCGCTTCTTGTAAGATCATATTAGATCTTATAACACAAAATCTTACACGATCTTACGATAAGAAATAAATATAAGTCACGCTTCTTAATGAAAAGATTTTACAAGATCTTGTAAGATCGTGTCACGTCTTATGAGCTGTTATTGCAAGATCTTATGAAAAGCAGTTACAAGATTTCGCAGGATCTTACAACATCCTACGCCAAGATCTTCTAAGATCATGTAGTAAGATGTTGTTACAAGAGTTCATAAGAAAACAGAAGATCTTGAAAGATGACTTTCACCTTGCAGCTAACTCTGCTAC